AAATGTTAGTAGCCCGTCCCAATAGAGTGCACTACATGCAATGCCATGACGTACCTATCTAAAATGTTAGTAGCCCGTCCCAATAGAGTGCACTACATGCAATGCCATGACGTACCTATCTAAAATGTTAGTAGCCCGTCCCAATAGAGTGCACTACATGCAATGCCATGACGTACCTACTTAAAATGTTAGTAGCCCGTCCCAATAGAGTGCACTACATGCAATGCCATGACGTACCTACTTAAAATGTTAGTAGCCCGTCCCAATAGAGTGCGCGCCACATGCAATGCCATGACGTACCTACTTAAAATGTTAGTAGCCCATCCCAATAGAGTGCGCGCCACATGCAATGCCATCTTTGGCCACCCAGTAAAGTAGTCTAGCAGTCGCGAGAATTTCAAGTGTGCTCTCGTAATTTTGTCTGGATTAAAGAAGGTGCCGGAAAATCGGTGGTGTACTGTACTTATCATAAGATATTAGTATTAATCCTAATGTCATAATAAGAATTAACTAATGTCTTATGACAAGCATAATTAGTTATAACCATGCTTTGCTAGCTGGGAAAAGGCATTCACACCAGAACAATTTTTGTTGTAATGAATGGCTTATAGTAAATAGTGTTCCGACCACTACTGTGTTTGTTGTGTTCCAGTGGCCTGATGAACTACAGGTAAAACAAAACGCATTATCAGCAACGGACATAACAAACAAGGTGGTTGGACTACATCCTTCTAATTCTTTGATATCCCTAAGGGACTAGATAAAGAATACAGTTACTAGAAGGGTACTATGTAGAGCACACACACCTCCACGTGCCGTTGATCATACTTGGCTCTCAAAAAATACGAAAATGTTGTCCGTACGTCAGTCTTTATCAATGGACACAAACCATTTTTGGCAGGATAACGAGGAATGATATTCTACACATGTCCACCAAGTTTCATTAAAATCTGAACCTTTTTGATTGAGTTACAGAGGAAAAATAGTGGGAAAAACTGGTCTTCATGTTGACAGATACAGTGTGAAAAACTGGTCTTCATGTTAACAGATAGGGATTTTTATAAATTTCAAGAACCTCTGAAAAGTAATAACTTCTATGTTGGGTCACAGTACTAATGTATACCAACTTTCATGCAAATCCATTCAGCCATTTTTGAAAAATCTTGCTAACCAAAACACAAACACACATTAAAAGTGTGAAAACAAGCTCTGTCCACCTTTGGTGGTAGAGGTAAAAATATAACAAGCCAAGTACTAATGCCTTATGACAAGTTTAATTAATTATATCATGATCTAACAACTTAAAAAAATGCATTTACACCATAAAAATCCTAGTTTGTTTAAAGGTTTTGTAGTATGTCAAGAATTAGGTGTGATACTACTGGAAATTTTATTTAACTACTTTCAATAAAAAATACAAAAAAATTTGATTTCAATACACCAGTAGCAGTACGACTAACACCTGGGTTAACTTTTTGAATTTCTTGTCATTTAAATGTCATATTTTTACTTTTACAAAAGTATCTGTTCAACTATATGTACAGTGACTTGCCACAAAATAATCAGATTCTAAACTGTTATTATCTTTAAAAAATGTGAAAAAAGACAATGTCCTCTTGGTCCTACAAATACACCGTTCTGCCTTTACCCCCAACGGTCTCGATATACAGGACTCTACATAATGGGATCTGTTTCCCAGCAACAATGTTTTCCTCCATAATTTACATTTAAAAAATATTTAACATGATTAAACACACTCAAACATATCTTACATGCAGGTGTTTCTTGAATGAAACTCTACAATTAATACACTCAACAAGCTATATACCCAAAATATGTCCTAGGTTATACCATAAAATATATACAATGAACATATCCTGTATACTACAGGTACTAGAAGAAACCCTGAAACGTGTGTAAAGATACCGTTACTAGTTACGAACATCTTCTACCAGAAGCTACTTGTACAATGAACATATCCTGTATACTACAGGTACTAGAAGAAACCCTGAAACGTGTGTAAAGATACCGTTGTCTAGTTACGAACATCTTCTACCTGAAAGCTACTTGTACAATGAACATATCCTGTATACTACAGGTACTAGAAGAAACCCTGAAACGTGTGTAAAGATACCGTTGTCTAGTTACGAACATCTTCTACCAGAAGCTACTTGTACAATGAACATATCTTGTATACTACAGGTACTAGAAGAAACCCTGAAACGTGTGTAAAGATACCGTTGTCTAGTTACGAACATCTTCTACCTGAAGCTACTTGTACAATGAACATATCCTGTATACTACAGGTACTAGAAGAAACCCTGAAACGTGTGTAAAGATACCGTTGTCTAGACACGAACATCTACCAGAAAGCTACTTGTACAATGAACATATTATTTTGAAAGGTGGACCACCCTGTGAAAGCAGAATAGAAAAACAAATATCATTAATAATTTCACAATTAAGTTTATACACTGACATTTCTTGAGAATATCCACATTTTACTGCTATCACCAATATTTCCCACAGAGCACTGTCACATACACATTCATGTTCCCATTCTTAAATATCATGATGTAAGAGGCATCTGTATTCAAACATAATGTTCTCTTTCCTACCGTTTAATCATATGAAAATGCATTTGTTAAGACATATACTTCACGACCCACAATACATACGTTTACAATATTTAAATACTTTGAAAAACCTTGATAGAAGTATAATTTATGGAAACACTTAGTAAAATAAGTTTTAATATTAAGTTGTTTCTAATGATACCTATAACTGTTTTTGTTTCCCCCCCCCCAAGATAAAAAACATTCAACTCACATCTGCTGACACTTCTGAATGAGGGGGGTGAGCAGGTGAGATCTAAAGCCCTGGGCTACAGGGGCTGAACCAGAAACAGAAAGATAATGAGCTGCTTCCAAGACCAGTTCATGAAGAATGAACGGGCTGGCAACACTGTTGACAGTGCATATACAGAAATCGTGCAAATAGGATGTTCCTGCAAGAAAACAGGGATATAAATATATAAATTATAACATCTTAACTATCACTTTTATTTATTCTTAATGAACACTACACTCACTTTAGCAGTAGACTAAATCTCATAGAACTAAAAAGATTCTTCAAACGTTACTGTGGGTTGATGTTGAAAACCGAAAAAAATCTGCCACCCACAGTAATTGGCTCAATTCAACAGTTCTTTCAAACAAATTAAAACTTGATCAATGTTTATTTCACTTCCTTATATTTTTATACCTTAGTTCATTATGTGCGATATTTATAATGGCTATAAGCTTTTCTAACAAATATATCGAAACAGAACTCTATCTTATAGCTTCTTTGTCGGCACTGGATACAACAGGTATAGTGTGATTGACATATTGTTGTAACATTGTTCTTTACGTTCCTAGAATTTGATTTCTTGTTTGTTCTTAACAAATGCTTTTTTTTTGTTGAAATATCTTTGCAGAAAGTTATAATTCCCAAATGATTACACTCATTTTAATAGTGTATTCAATCTTTTAAACAAACCATGAAATCTATTTGATACCAACCAACTTTCTTGTTTGGAGTATTTTTCCTTGAACTTCAATAGGTTCTATATTTACCTCTTTTAAAGCTTCTCTTTCTGTATAATAGCTATTTCAATCATCAAATACCTTGAATAATGTTTCTCTATCACTGACTATTCTCATCTTTATTTTCATTATAATTTAAAATTAAATTTAAAAAAATATTTCCCTAGATATATTTATACTTTCTTTTATAGCAAAATAACGATTTTTAACTTTATTTCAGAAAACTGAAAAAAAAATGCTACCAACAATTCCACAGAAATATTGAACCCATTCACCCAGCTGCAATGAAAGGGTTAATTAGAAAATTCTTGAACAATGTAAAATTTAGAGTTTCGAATACTGCCATCTTTTAGGAAGAATATTTAAAACAGCTAATAATATGCTAAAACTATAAATAAAAAATCTCTAATATCTAGATTAGAAAACTAATTCAAACAACTTTTTTAATTGGCCCACATAAGTATCTTCATTACTGAAAATAACAGATGAAATATAAAATTTGTTCTTAAGAAATGTTTGATAACTATTTGGACATTATAAAGATTTTGCATGTGAAATTTGACAATGTTCTGATGCATAAAAGTATTTTTAATCTTAAAATGAAAATTACATTGCATGTTAGATAGGCAACATGTGAAAAGGAAAAAAAAACGCTTGAGAAAAACATTGTGGTACAAACCTAAAGACTTAATAAAAAATTTTTATATTTTGTGTATGAAAGCATTGTAATGTTTACTGATAATGTACCAAATTTCGTTAACATTCACTTACCTTTTTAAAAGTTATAGCATGAAAACTATAACAAACACAAAATGGTTACGAGGTTGGTCCCAGGGACTGAGCCTGTGCTGAAAGAGTTAACAGCAAGGATACTCAACTGATGATACTACACACCCTAATCATCATGGGTTTAGTTTTCTGGTGT